GGAAATGGATTCTTTGTTCTCTTGCTGTGATCATTAAAATTTCTAACTGGTAAGAGACTTCTTTCGTTTTGTTCTGCTCATCTGCTTCCAAAGTGCGGGGAGGAAGCGAAGTTCCAGAAGCCTGACTCTGTGTTTGCAATTCACAACTCGGGGCTGATGGGAGTTGTGGTCCAAAGCAGCCAGAGAGAACCAGGCAGATGGAGAACGTGGTTGCGACAGCTCTTTGGGAGAGCGGGTGGCTGAGTGATAGTCAGTGGGTGGTTGTGCCACCCCACCCACCCCATGGGCTTAGAGTTTGGGGCACGTTCTGGGCAGTGGGTGGTTCTCTCTCTCTCTCTCTCTCTCTCTCTCTCTCTGAGCTGTGGTGCCTGGCTGGCTGTGGCACATGTTGTGGAGCAGTGTGCTTTGAGATTTGCCTCGTCTGTCAGCTGGTCCCCTCACTTTCCTCTGAATCTTCCTCTTCTGTCTCAGTACTGGTTACTCTACAAGGGCTTCTCTCTCCTTCCCGAAATCGCTTTCTACTGGAAGCTGCCGGACCCCTTCCTGGGGGACAAGGTAATCTTAACTGCATGGACTGCGGGGGGCGGGGTGAGAAGCAGGGATGAGAGCCATTCCGGGGGCTCTGTGCGTGTGTCTGTTTGCCTGGCAGTGGCATCAAAACAAAAGAAAGTCCTTCGCACAGTGCTGAGACACATGGCCACTGTCTTTGCTGGCTTTGGAAGAGGATGAGACAAAATCAAGGAGGGAAGGGGCTTCTAGCCACAAGCTGGCCTGCACAGCCAGAGGCAGCAATGCTTCGGAATACCAATTGCTGGAAACCACAGAAGGGGGAGAGTTGCTCTTGAGCTCCAGTCTGGCTTGCTGGTTTTCCATGGGGACATCAGGTTGGCCCCTGTGCACACAGGATGCCATTGGCCTCATCCAGCAGGCTGTTCCTCGTGTTCTTCTGAAGGAGGACAGAGAACACGGTGCCGATAGATGATAGATAGATAGATAGATAGATAGATAGATAGATAGATAGATAATTTATTACGGTCGTAGACCAGCTTATAAAACGCACTTGGGGGTACAATCCCAGAAGGAAAACCAACATTTAAAACAATGTACAACAATAAATTTAAAATGTATAAATGCGGTGAGCGTACACTTAAAACTTTAAGCGGTGCCGATAATGCCAAGGTTGCAGGTTCGATCTCTGTATGGGACGGCTTCATATTCCTGCATTGCAGGAGGCTGGACTAGACCACTGGTTCCCAACCTTATTTTGGCCATGCCCCACCTAAGCTTCTCTAAAATCCTCCTATTCACGTGGAGGAAGCCTAAAAGGCCATGAACTGTTAATAACTCATTCTCAATTTGCCCCCCTTAAGAATCAAATGGCCCCCCTGTGGGGCGTGTGCCCCACGTTGGGAACCACAGGACCAGACAATCCTTGGGATCCCTTCCAACTCCACGATTCTGTGAAATGAATGGTGACGCTGCAGTTTTGTGCCCCCTGTGCCAACTTTAAAGAGAAGGTCATAAAGCAAGATATGTTAATATTTAAGTCTTAGAATAGCTTTTGGTATGAATTGTGTATTGCTTTGTAATGATTTGTTGGGTCTCTGGACTGTAATAAAGATTGATGATGATGACGAATAGCTTTGGAAGTGGATATAGGCTGTGGGGTTAGAAGTAGAAGATAGTGTATTTTAAAATAGTATTATTTGTAAGGGATAAAATTTGGAGATTTTTATGCTAAAGTAAGTGTGATTTTAAAAATGGTTAAAACTTATGATATATGTAAACTGCTAAAGATGAGGTAAAATGAATATCAGATAGGGGGGACTAGGGGAAGCTCACCTAACAATGTTTAGAAAAAATTCGATAAGACAAGAATTTGTTTGTATTGTTTATTTTTCTGTTTGTGTTGTTTAGTTGTGTTATAAAATGAATAATTTTTTAAAAATAATATTTATTATCATTTCTAAAAGGTACAAAGAGTAAAACAGAAAAACATAGAAAACACACAACACCAAAGAAAACAAAAAAAGAAGAAAATTCCACCTTTTAAATCTCGTTTTCCGTAGCTTCTTTTCTTGACTTCCCCACGCCTCCCTTTCTTGTATTCCACTTCCCATATTTTGTTCAGCAAGTTTTTAACCTTAGTGTCTTAACATATATTGTTAATACTTTTATTATAATACTTTTATAATCAGTTTAACCATTATTTCATTATTATATTTACTTCGGTTTAATCAATAACATTTAACATTGTATACCTTAGTTGTATATAAGTTGTATACCTTAGTCATATATAAAAGGGATAGAAAGACAAAAGAAAACAGAAAAGAAAGTACTTTTCCTAAGGTTGTCCCTAGTTCCCATCCACGAATTCCCCATTTTAGTAATAATAAATGACGTAAATTTTTTTTTTACACTGCATAGTGAAAATCAGGCCCCCTTCGGGCTCCCAAACCCTCCTTTTCCCTCCCCGGTTTCAACCCCAGACCAAAAGCCATAAGTCTATCTTTTTAGCCTGGTGACCTTACGTCCGAGGCTCTCAAGTCCCTTTCAGTCCCTCTCAGCCGGCTTCTTTGGAAATCTTTTATATTAAATGCCCAAACTCGAAAAGATACTTTCTCAATACTGGCAGTGATTTTTTCAACCAGGGCTAGTTGTTTAAAGGTGAAGCTCCATCTCTGTTTCTTAAGTTCATACATCCCAACTAGTCCAACTTTCACTCTGGTCGGGTTTAAGATCGTCTTGATAGATCTTCGGCTCTCATTTGTCTTCTGTATCATTTCGGCCGCCCCTTGTTTAACAGGTATCTTTTCCTCCTCTTCCTTCTTTGGTTTCATTTCTTGTCCAGCTGCCCGTGTTTTGAGTATCAAGCCCTTTTCCATCTCAGTAGCTATATTTTCTGTTGGTTTCGACTTTGGAGGACTTGTAGACAAAACATGACCTTGCTCATACATCTCTCGCAGCTTTCCCATGAGAACGACCAGCTCTTGCAACTCAGCTCGCATTTCCCGACCTATTTCCATCTTGTAATGTCCGTGAATCCCCTCTAGAGGGATTCTAGTTACTTAGTATTCCTTTCACTTCCAACCCAAAAGTCAATGTTGTTTGTATCAATCTTCCTTTACTTTTGATTACTTTGTAACAAATTAACCGGCTAAAATTAAAGCTTTCAGTTTTTCCGGACTTTGACAGCTAATTTGACAGCTGTCAAAAGCTTCCTGTAAATCCTCCACAGGCTCTTTTCATGGGTTACTCCCGGCCTCGAGAAAAGTGGTACTTGATCAAAACAAATAAACTCTTGCCCTCCAGCACAATAACTTAGTCTTTTTAAATCCGTGGAATTAATATCTTTTATCCAATCACAAAAGGTAACAGACGGCTCTTCTCACAACCTTAGTTGGCAGATCCTTGCTGTTAGACTGTTTACAATGGGGGGGAGACGGACTTCCTCTTTTCACCTCCCCCCGCTCGTACCAAATCCATAAACGAAGTAATTTAAATTCAGTTCCAAATTACTCACGGGTTGTTGTTCTTGATTTTAAGTCTGAATTTTAAACGGAAGAAGTCAGCGCTCTCCGACAAATGGCATGCGGCTTCACTCAGCAGGGGAAGCAGAGGACTCACAGCACCACGCCGCTCCCCGGCACCCGTTCCGTAGCCTTTAAAAAGGCTCCTTCGCGGGTCGGGAGGGCGCTAACAGTGCCTGCCGAGTCACCACGTCCACGGGCATTCGCGCCCGTGGTTTTTAAGGGTCCCCGTGTCGCCGGCACGGCAAGACCCAGCCCCCGTCAAGCAGATTCCCTCTGGAGCTCGGAGGGAATCCACCATTAGCCGATCGCGCTAACCCGGAAGTCATAAAATGAATAAATTTTTTTGGGGGGGGGAAATAAAAATAAAGGGAAGGTCGTGCCTTGGGGGATCACAAAGAGAACACTCTGTGTGTGGGTTTTTTTGTGGGGGGGGAGTGAAGCTTTTCATCTCTCGCATAGACACACCTGTAGAAGCCGCAATGCCTCTGAATAAACTAGCTATGGGGAACCCCAAGTGAGGAGAAGGCTGCTGTTTTCATCAGGTCCCACTTGCGGGCTTCCCATAATGGGCCTCTGGTTGACCACTGGGAAAACAAGGTGCTGGACTACGGGGCCTGATCCAGCAGCTTCCGGGCTCCTCTGAATTCCTCGCACATGCACAGAGCCCTCTTTGTTTTCTGCGCCAAGAAGCTGCAAATCTTTGGAGCAGGGTTGCAGGTTATGTCCAGCCTCGGGAGCCTAACCTGGCCCTCTAAGGTTCTTTTTCCAGCCCTTGAGACTCTGCGGCACCAGTCAGTCACATCGACGGCCCTACCCACTTATGACTTTAGTCCCTCCCACTTTAGCCCCACCCACCACCGAGGGAGACCCTTGGGCAGAAGAAGGTTCCCTACTGCTTGAGGCAGACACCTTCCTGATGACTTCTGTGTTTTAGAAGAACTTAAAATGTGGGGAGGGAGTAGGCGAGTGAACGGCAGCATAAAGGGGGTGCACGTTGCTTTTGGGGGTGCCATGCTAGCCCCAGAAGCTGTTCGCCACCATGCACAGGGTTCAATTTCTTTGAAAGACTCCCCAAAGTCTGTTTTTTAATTATTACTTGACTCTATGAAATGTGATGATATTGTATCTAGCTTCGTATAAACTGGGTCTGGTTAGAGAAGTCTTACTCGTTTGCGTTTCAGTTCAGTCACCTTCCTATTTACTTGATTTAAATTTAATTAAAAATTTCCCAGTCTGTCCTACCTTGCAAGGTGGTTGTGGGGATGAAATAGGCAGCAGGGGGAAGAGAAGAACCATGTGCTCAACCATTTTGGGGGAAATGCAACTGTGGAGGGAAATTCACTTTTTACGAAGTTGAAAATTTCAAAACGTGGGCCTTACGATGGGTGCATGACACTTGTGCGGGGGTGTGGCCCCTGACCTGCACCAAGATGGAATGACCTGACCCCTCTCGCCCCACATTTGCAGGTTGGATCCTACGGGGGACGCCTTCGCTACACCCTTTCCTACAATGCTGGAGGACGAGGCACCCCACTGCCGGACGCTGATGTGCAGATCACTGTAAGGAAGAGTCCCTGCTTGCTCAGGAGAGGGCTGGGTTTCTACAGGTTTAGCTAGAGAGGTTGTGGGGGGGGGCATCCCCTGGAATTCACTGGGCATCGGGACCTGTATAGCAGCAGAGGCCCTCATTTATGGGATTGGAGGAAGCTCTGAGTCCCACATACACCACTCCCATAAATGTTTATTTATGCCTCTGATTTGGAGGCAACTAGATAAAGGTCTTTTGGGGGGGGGATTTAGCAGCCACTAGCAGAAATATCATGTGAGTAAGAAAAGGGACGCGGGTGGCGCTGGCGGTTAAACCACTGAGCCTCTTGGGTTTGCTGATCAGAAGGTTGGCGGTCCGAATCCCCACGACGGAGGGAGCTCCCGTTGCTCTGCCTCAGCTCCTGCCAATCTAGCGGTTCGAAAGCATGGCAGTGCAAGTAGATAAATAGGTACCGCTGCGGTGGGAAGGTAAACGGTGTTTCCGTGCACTCTGGTTTCCGTCATGGTGTCCTTTTGCCCCAGGAGCAGTTTAGTCCTGCTGACCACATGACCCGGAAAGCTGCCTGTGGCCAAACGCTGGTTTCCTCAGCCTGAAAGTGAGATGAGCACCACAACCCCATAGTCACCTTTGACTGGACTTAACCATCCAGGGGTCCTTTACCTTTACCTTCTGAATAAGGTTACTAGCTATTGTGGCTACTAGCCATTGTGGCTACTAGCCACAAGTGCCATGGTCTGATTTCATGGGAGGAGGCAGCAACGCTTCTGAATCCCAGTTGCTGGAAACTACAGGAGCGTTGATCCCATGCTTGAATCCTCTTTGAGGGCTTCTCTTAGGGGCTGTTAGAATTCCTGCTCCATGATTGCAGTCATGGGATTGTTGTCTTTCACATGACGAGCTCTTGACAGGGGCATCACAGTGAACAGGATACTGGACTGATCCAGCCAGCTCTTCTTATGTTCTTACATTCTCTTTTGGTGTCTCCCCCCCTCCCCCAGGGTAACGACATCACCTTGGTGGCCTACCTGTCGGAGCTGCGGCCTCGGGAACGCAAGAGCTTTGAGGTCATCTTCCAGGAGGTGAGGCCTCCCTGTGCCGTCTGCACCTGAGCTCCACGTTTCTCTTGGTGGCAATGAAGCCACCCCATATACCTGGGAAGGGGAGAGAGGTGGGGATCCAGGCAACACTGACACTGCTTTGGTGGAGAACGTGGTTGAATCTGGCTTAAATAAAGCAGCTGGAGGAGCAATGGATCTAAGTTTACGGACCCTGCAGCTTGTTTCCGTTGTCCATTGCCACTTGTCCCGTCCCTCTGCTGTGCCCACAAAATGAGCTTATCTGGCTCTGCAAGAACTTCTTCTTCATGGTCAGAGACTGCAATATTTCTGAATACTAGTTGCAGGAAAACTCAGGAGGAAAGAGCTGCAGTGAAGCCACTTCCATTACTGCCCCTTCCCCGCTTTCTTTTCTCTATCTATCTATCTATCTATCTATCGTAAAGTAATAATCCAACCTCTCAAAATTTCAACACCTCTTGTGATGGTTTGACCCCTTTCCGTTTTAACAATACAAATTCTACAAACATATCTTCCATATCTTGTTGAAATCATTTCTCCTGCGTATTCCCTGTCTTACCTTAATGGCACATGTTAATTTATCATTCATAGCTACATCCCACACCTCTTTATACCGTTCTTCCATTTTATATTTTGCTTGCCCCTTTTACTTCCTAGCTATCATAATTCGTGCAGCTGTCAATAAATTAATTTGTGAGTAAGTCCTTCATAGCCTGTGAACCTTCCACCCCATCGTAAATGGATAATAATGCTACCTCTGGACTTCTGGTCAGCTTTAACTTCTTCTCTGCTTTCTGCTGGTACATGTGGAAATGTTAAGGATAGTAGGAAAGGATATGTTGAATAAGTATTATTCTTCCTTTACTCATACTAGTAAGTGATGTAGCAGAGAAGATTCCCCTCAATATAGCTGGAAGCTAGTTTGCAGATTCATATGAATCTCTTAGTTAAGTCTATTACTGGTGTCCCCTTTTGATCCCTTTTAAAAGAATAAAGACACGAGAGTCTTTCTGAGTAAAGTAACAAGTTTAGTCACATTTCAGTTCACGATTTGATCCCTGAAAGGCAGGCTTCACTTGGTAGTTACATAAAGAAACTGTGAGTTTGTCTCATATGGAGACTGAACTGAGAGCCAGCAAACAGCAAAATTTACATTTAGATAACAAAATGGCTGCAGGAGAGCAGCATGCCAGCGAAAGAACAGCAAGACAATAGAAAGACAAAACGACTGAGAAAATGACTGCATGACTCAGCTCTTTTATGGAGACAGACAGCGCCAAGGGCCTTCTGGCAGTTCTCTCACTACGTGAAGACAGAGGGTCTTCTCAGTAGTGACGCCCACCCTGTAGAACACCCTTCCATCAGATGTCAAGATAATAAACAACTATCTGACTTCCAGAAGACATCTGAAGGCAGCCCACTTTAGGGAAGCTTTTAATATTTGATGAATAATTGTATTTTCATATTTTGCTGGAAGCCGCCCAGTGTGGCTGGGGAAACCCAGCCAGATGGGCAGGGAATAAATACTATATCATCATCATCATCTCCTAGGTCACATGTAGGGGGAGAAAGTTCCAGACCAGTGGAACAGCAAGTTACCCTGACTGGATATCCCCCTGCTTGTGCCCACTCTAGAGAAATAAGGAATGTTGCATTTGACTGCGCCAATGGATTCCATCCCACAGTATCAACCTTCCCCCCTTTTTCTCCCCAGCAATACTGGAAGCGCCCAGATGGCCAGCCAGCCACCCGGGAGCACCTCATGATGGTCCTGGCTGACCTGGACGAGATTCTCATCCGCGCCACTCACTCCACCGAGATGCTGTCGGCTGGCATCACCGGTGTCAGCATGGAGACCGCGGTGCCCACCTACACCAGCCTGCCCCGGGCTCTGGAGGTGGAGGAATGTCGCTGCCCACCAGGCTACCAGGGTCTTTCCTGCCAGGTGAGCCTCTTCGCTGGGCCAGGCAGGGCACGTGGGCTCATGGGGCACTGTTTACTGACGCCACCCTGTCCCTCTTGCAGGATTGTGCAGCTGGCTACACCCGGACAGGCGGTGGGCTCTACCTGGGGCACTGTGCGCTGTGCGAATGCAACGGGCATTCAGATTCCTGCCACCCTGAGACCGGCGCCTGTTCAGTAAGCAACTTCCATAGGCACATAAACTCGGGTGTAAAAGTGTATTGGGAAATGATCCATAATGAATTGAGGAAAAAATGTTTAAAATTGATTTTCGAAAAACAACAACAGAATCCTTTCTCTTGGGGATAATTCAGACTGAAATTCCCAGGTGTCAAAAAAGGTTATTTATGTATGCCACTACTGCGGCCAAATGGGATGTGGGAAGCAAAGTTCTTAACCCAAGGTACTATTTCTGGGTTAGCGGAGTCTGTAACCTGAAGTGTCTGTAACATGAAGCGTCTGGAACCCGAGGTACCACTGTACTAATACCAATCATTCAAGTACCAAATTATTCAAGTGCCAGATCATTCATATAATTTAGGTGGCTAGAATTGATGGCTTGATGATTTACTTTATTTCTGCATTCCAAAATCTTATGGATTTCAATTACATTCCAGTCAAAATAACAATCCCTTATACAACTACTGCAATATTAATAACTTCTCCTTTTTAACTTTTATTAAACAAACATTACATACAAAAAAAACCACAAACTAATCTTACATTGGATATTTCTAGACTAAAATAGTTATTGCAGTATACATAATCAAATTGTCAAACATCTAGAATAAGTGTGTATTATATAAAAGAAATAAAAAGAGAGAGAGAAAAGAAAAAAAGAAAAAGAAAAATGCACAACGATAAAACCAAAAAATTAACAAAACTAAAACTACCTATCAAACGAAAAAGCAGTATTTAGTTAATTCAAACCAGTATCAGGGTGTTCTGCTCACAAAGTCCCTCATACTGGGTTGAATGCCATTTTTGATTTGTTGGTTTGTTGACTTCCGTCCACTCTTTGCAGATTCAATTCAGCCATTTCTATCTTTGATCTGTATTTAATTATTTGTCTCCATCTTGGGATACCTCTGTCTGCGAAATCAGTCTAAGCACAGCCAAGCGTTATTGTTGGAACCATGTTTATTAAGTAATTTTAATAACTTCTAGTCTTGTTGACACATTAAATGATTTGCCCTTCCCAGAGCTGCCTTCATCATGCTGCTGGGGAGTTCTGTGAGAAGTGTGCACCCGGATTCTACGGAGACGCTACTGCTGGCACCCCAGAGGACTGCCAGCCCTGCGCCTGTCCGCTGACGGATCCGGAAAACCAGTACGATGTTGGCTCATTGAGAGAGAGGGAGACTGAGTAGATGGGGGCTTGACTGGGTTTCAGGATGGGCTGGCAGCGGATGTGGATTTGTGGGCAAATCTGCTTTAGCTAGCCACTCCGGGTGGATAAAGGTATCAAGGGTTACAAAAGAGTATTGGGAAAGGGGTCCATAATGAATTGAAAAAAATATTTAAAAGTACTTTCCCCAAAAAACCCAGAGTCCTTTCTGTTGGAGATAATTCAGACTGACATTCCCAGGTGTCAAAAAGGTTATTTATGTATGCCACTACTGTGCCCTGGGTTTTGTTAGCCCCAAAATGGAAAACGAGTGAGGTCCCAGCCAAAGAAGAATGGCAACTTAAGCTGACGGAATATGCGCAGCTTGCGGACCTGACATATAGAATAAGAGAACAAGAAGAACATATATTTAGAGGAGACTGGAAAGCGTTTATTGAATATATGGGAAATCATTGTGTACAGCTGAAAACGCTGGCAGCATTAAGATAAATTCAACAGTGTAAATAAGTTGTGATGGATGCAATAATGGCATTCAGAATGGTGCAGTTTCTGTAAAATATGCAGGGATTTATGATATGTAAAATGAACCGTGGAAAGAGAAAAAAAGGAAGTCACGGATATTTCAAGGATGTAAAAATGAGTACTTTGAATTGTAAAACAGAAAATTGAAAAATATATATATATACCCCCCAAAAGCTATCAAGGGTTAGTAGCCACAGTGACTGCTCTGTTTTTTGGGCTTCCCATTGAGGCAGCTGGTTGGCCCCCGTGAGAACAGGGTGCTGGACTAAGATGGGTCTGATTCAACAGGGCTTTTCTTATTTTTTCTTCCCATGGGGGCACCTAGATAGATGGTCTCTCCCTATCCAGGGGCAGTCTACCTTCAAATTCCAGTCCCTGGAAATCTCAAATGGGGGGGAGAGCATTACTGCTTGGGTGCTGCCTGGGGGTGTTATAAGAAAACCTGCTCCCTTTCCCTTAGGGGCTATTCCAGAGCCCTTAAGTGGGTTCCCTATCAGTAGGAGAAAATAACAGAGGCCAACGAGAGAATGTTGAGAAGCAAAGTGGCTAGCAAGCCTGATCTTTATTCAACTGTTGCAACAGGGTCCTCACTCACCACACGCAGGAGGGAGGAGGGACCCAGAACATTGGGGCTTATATAGACTTTTGAAATTGCCCACCCTGTAGCCAAAGACCACCCCCCAAAAAACATACATACATCACAGAAGGAGGCAGTCTTCAGCAGAAACCCTGTTTGCCAGGATACCTGACAGTGGTCACTGATTGCTTTATCTGGGCAGAAGACTTTCCCCATTTGCCTCTCTTACTGCAATGACTATTTGAGGTCATTGGGAGAGTCAAAATGGCTTCAGGATTGCCCTCTCGTACTATTTGAGGCACATGGTTTATATATTTAGATATGTGTGCATTTATGAATATTCTATATTTGGGACCTTAAAATTCTTATACCAGGGTCTTCCTTGCTGAGGGGCATCTGGTTGGCCAGGTTAGATGGGCTCTTCTGATATCCTTTAAACCTCCTGACTCTTCTTCCTTACTTTATTTATTTTTTTCAGGTTCTCAAGGACGTGTGAGAGCCTGGGGGGCGGAGGCTACCGCTGCACAGCCTGTGAGCCGGGCTACACCGGCCAGTATTGCGAGCAGTGAGTATCCAACTGGCCGGCGGACGAGCAGGGATGTAGCTCAGTAGCCCTTTTGGTTGTGGATCTGCCCTAATGTTAGGATTTTTATCTATCCGAGCTGCTACAGCGAGTGGTACTATGATTTGTATACATCATGTGAGTGTCTGAGAGAGCGTGAGAAAGAAAGGCTGTATTATCTCTTCCTACTGAGTACTATTTAAAAGGACGCGGGTGGCGCTGTGGGTAAAAGCCTCAGCGCCTAGGACTTGCCGATCGCATGGTCGGCGGTTCGAATCCCCGCGGCGGAGTGCGCTCCCGTCGTTCAGTCCCAGCGCCTGCCAACCTAGCAGTTCGAAAGCACCTCTGGGTGCAAGTAGATAAATAGGGACCGCTTACCAGCGGGAAGGTAAACGGCGTTCCGTGTGCTGCGCTGGCTCGCCAGATGCAGCTTGTCACACTGGCCACGTGACCCGGAAGTGTCTCCGGACAGCGCTGGCCCCCGGCCTATAGAGTGAGATGAGCGCACAACCCTAGAGTCTGGCAAGACTGGCCCGTACGGGCAGGGGTACCTTTACCTTTACTGAGTACTATTGGAAGTTGATTTCGCTTCTATGTGTGTCGAGGTTCTGTACTGGTGTTCAGAGAGCACAGACGTACTGATGGAATCTCTGTATAGGTAAAGGTAAAGGTAAAGGGACCCCTGACCATTAGGTCCAGTCGTGACAGACTCTGGGGTTCGGCGCTCATCTCGCTTTATTGGCCGAGGGAGCCGGCGTACAGCTTCCGGATCATGTGGCCAGCATGACTAAGCCGCTTCTGGCGAACCAGAGCAGCACACGGAAACGCCGTTTACCTTCCCGCCGGAGCAGTACCTATTTATCTACTTGCACTTTGACGTGCTTTCGAACTGCTAGGTTGGCAGGAGCAGGGACCTAGCAGCGGGAGCTCACTCCATGGTGGGGATTCGAACCGCCGACCTTCTGATCGGCAAGTCCTAGGCTCTGTGGTTTAACCCACAGCGCCACCCGAGTCCCGGAGTCTCTGTATATAAGACTGTAAATAAAGTAGTTTTTGTGGGAATGTTCAGGGATGCAGGAGAGGATATATTGTCTGATAATAGCCTTTCCAACTTGTGTTAACAAGTTCACAATTTAGCAGAGTAACATTCCCCTTTTTAAACTTGCAGCGGATGCGTTTGCTCATGCTCGCTAAAGCCTCTATAATAACTGTTCTGGTATTTCCCCCTTATTCCCTCATAAAAGATAAGACACAACGCAGTCTTCTACAAAAGTATAAAAAGAGTTTACTCACATATCATTCTGTTCACAATAGGATCCCAGAAGGCAGACTTAGCTTAGAAAAGTAACATTTACCTGGAAACTATCTCATAAGAAGACAGTCCCTTTGTCCTCTCTTGGCTGGAAGCCAAGAGGGCATCTTTGGCTAAGCAGATGTTGCTTTTTCAATGCCTGTAGTCAAAAAGAGAGAGATGACTGCCCTGCCCTGTGCTTTTGTCATTACCTGCACAGGTGAGGCCACACCCACCTCTAGTCACATGCAGAGGAAGCCTGTCCCAGCCCAGAAGGAAACAGGAAGTTTACCTGCTGGCTGGGCAAACATTCCTCCCCATGTGTACACAAGTTCACTCTAGGACTGTTGTACTTGACTGCTCTTGTGTTTCACATCCCACAGTTTTAGAACTACGATTGAGTCTTTCTTCTGCTATAATATACCAGAAGGCTGGCGTGCTCTTTTCAGGAGAGAAGGGTCACTTATTGCTGGCTGCTCTGGACTGAAGAAGATTTACAGCCAGAGAGGGCCACTGGGGAACGCTCCGGAGACTTTGCAGCCTTCCCAGGGCGTTTTTCCAACACCTACCGTATTTTTCGCTCTATAACACGCACCTGACCATAACACGCACATCGTTTTTAGAGGAGGAAAACAAGGGAAAAAACATTCTGAATGAAACAGTGGATGTATCATTTTTGTGCTTCATGCTGTGGCCACAGACATGTGATCTGATGGTAAATTTGGGGTGACCCTGTCAGGGAAGAGTTAGAGGTTTTCAGTTTATCAGAGGGAGAAAGCATTCCCCAAGGGGGGGAGGAGAGCAGTGAATCTAATAGAAGGGAGCAAGAGGAACAACAGGGAGGGACCGGCTGTTCCCAGGAAAGGCCAGGGTTCAGTTCTAGCTCAGATTCGGAGGAGGGGAGATCCAAGCCAGCTCTAGCCAGGAGGGTAGGAAAAAGAGCAGGAAAGCGAAGGGAAAGGCGCCTTCGCCATTTGGAGAGTGGCTGGTCATGGAGAAGCAGAGTTCAGAAGGTATCTGAAAGAAGTGACTCTGAGGAAGAAGAGTTAAGAACTGTTTATAAGAATGTTTTGTTAATACGCAATAAAAAGTTTTATAGAAGAACAAGAAGCGTTTCTGTGGTGATCTGAAGAGGACAACGACCAGTCCTGACAGAATACCTTCTGCTCTGTGCCTCTTCACTATAAGTAAAGAAGGAGAAACCAAAATGGATGGAGCTGTGGCGCCAGTTGGACAAGGAGAAACCCCAGCGCTCCAGCTAACATTACAGGACTTATGGCAACAGAACTTACAGTTGAAAAGTCAAGTCGACGTACTATCGGCAGCACTGGGAGAACATAGAACCATGCTGCAATCGACGTGTGGAGATAGAGTGAGTAAAACATTTACTGTACGTCCACGTAGCTTCAAGGGAGAAAGCTCTGAATACATGGCTTTCAAGACAGAAATTTCTTACATAATTGAGATAAAGGATAAAGAATTTCAATCTGAGCAAGAGAAGGTTGCTTATGTGATTAATTTCTTGGAAGGGAGGGCTAAGGACTGTGTTATACCCCTCATATCTCGGAGGGATGCCGCCCTAGGAAATCTACAAATTTTTCTGCAGTATCTAGACACGATTTTCTTAGACCCTGCGCATGAAACAACCACAGCTAGGCAGCTGTTGAGAATGAGACAAGGAAAAGACACTGTGGGAGTTTATTGGTCCAACTTTAGTTTGCTGGTGCAGAAGTTAAAATGGGATCTGAATTCCCCAACAGTTGCAGCCCTTTTTAGGGAAGGACTGAATAATGAGATTTTAGACCAATTGGCCCAAATGCCAGAACCTAGTTCCTTGGACTCTCTGGTCCGAACGTGCCTGCAATTGAGCCTACGCGTGGAACGGAGGGCTAGTGAAAAGAAGGAACAATGGAGACCACGGTGGCGGGAAAATAATATTATCGAAAGTACAGAGAGCAGAGCGGGCAACGTGACAGGACGAGAGCCGCCAGAGCCCATGGAATTAGGAGCAGCCAGACCCCTCCCAGTTACTACCTCTTCCATGGTAAGAGGAAATGCAGGGAAAGGAAGAGATGCAAGGCGTTGCTTTGTCTGTGGAAAACAAGGGCATCTAGCACGACAATGTCACAATCGTAAAGGATGGGAGTCTCTATCTGGAGCAGACATGAGAGACGACAATTGCCCAGAGGAACTGCATCAGGGAAACGAATGTCCCCGGCTGGAAATGGGAGCTTGCAGCCGGGTGGAGAAGCAATAGAAGGCTCTCACGCGGAACCACCTATCCCAGGGCTAACGGTGAAGGTGCAACTACAACTACCCAATGGACACAGCGTCCAGGTAGAGGCGTTGTTAGACTCAGGAGCGTCAGCAGATTTCATAGACCAGAAATTGGTACAGGAACACAAAATCGCTTTGTTACCTTTGAGTTTCCCACTGCGAGTGAAAACAATCGACGGCAGACCGCTACTTTCAGGAGAAGTGACTTATGAGACTCCACCAATGAGAATGGATATGGGTCATCACTCAGAGACCAGGGCATTTCATGTGACCAAACTAGCTGGGCACCCAATGGTGCTGGGCATGAGTTGGCTCAATCGTCATTGTGATGGGATGATGAGCTGCTTGTGCGTAAAATGCAAGTCCCTCAGAGTTTGATCAGGTTTTCAAACCTCTGCCTGTGACGGAGCCCCTCCGGCATGGCTGCGTCAGTCGCTAGCAGAATCCGAAAGTGGTTGCTTTCGGAATCGTTTCCAACATAAAAGCTCCTTAACGGAAACACGTCTTCTGGACTCTCGGCGTGACAGTTTCCGGCGAGGAGTGGGTGTCCCTATAGGAGGTCCTGAGACCTCCCCACTGTTTTCGCTGGAAGCGTCTCTGAGCCATCCCTCCGACTCACTTTCCCTTGGAGTTCCTTCTCTCCCCCTACTGGTTCCCTCTTCAGCTGCTATGTCTCTCTCAACCTCAGTGAGCCTTTCCACCTCCTGTCCTTCCGATGGCAGTTCCCTGACATCCACCTCCCCTCCAGGGCCCCCTTCACCCCCTCCCATCTCCTCCTCTATGGGCGGTGAGGAGGTAAAACCCCTGAAAGAACCTCCCTCATCTTCCGAAGTCTCGAACACTTCCCTCCACTTGTTGCTGTCCCTGGTCTCTCGGTACTCCTCGTCATCGGAGTCAATTCCCTCTTCCAACTCCGAATCCGCGAATCCTTCCAGTTCCTCTTCCTCGTCGGTGGTGCCGAAATACTCCCTCCTAAACCTTGCTACAGGCTGAGGTTTCCTCGGGAATCTTTGGTGGAACGTTTCTATTAAAACCTCGTCATTGACCTCCCCTGCAGTCACCCAGGTGTTTTCTGACTCCGGTTCCCCTTCCCACGCCACCAAATACTCCACCTGATTTCCCTTCCACCTGGAATCGAGGATTTCCGTTACATGGTTGCTGCTTTCCCTTTCTTCCAAGGCGGGTTCCCTGGCGTGCTCCCCTTCACGTCCCCCCCCTGTACGGTGACAGTAACGACCTGTGGAACACTGGGTGCAATTTCATGTGGTTGGGCAACCGGAGTTTGAAAGCCACTGGGTTGACCTGCTGAATGACCTCAAAGGGTCCCAATCTTTTGGGTCTCAATTTCTTACAACCCCCTTTGAACGGCAACCCTTGGGTTGACAGCCACACCTGATCCCCCACCCTTATGGTTTCACCTTCCCTTCTGTTCTTG